AAAATTTAAATTCGTAGAGCATTTTTTTTTGGAATATATTTTTTATTTTTGGAATAATTATATCATACAGTATAAAATATGAGTTTTTCGTCAAGTGGTATTTTATTTGAACAATATGTCTACATTATTTTTTTATTTTTTTTTTAAAAATTAAAACGCTAACAATGAATTACACATTTTTATGTCAGTAAATATTATAATGTGTACGTTACATTCATTGATGAAGTTGCCCAATTCATGAAACTACGTTATATTTATTATTTTGTTTATTTTGTGCTGTTAGTTTTAATATTATAATATAAAGTTGCGTATAACCAAACCTAAAGGTAAGAATATTGCCTATATTAAATTTGTACTTTAGTATTTTTCGATATTTTAATTTTTAAGCGAAATAGGATTACTTTTGAATTGTAATATTTCATATATTTGTTACTCGCTTGAAAATTAAATTATTTAAATGTTCTTACCTTTAGGTTTGGTAATGCTAATAGGCAAATAGACCCTACTGTTATATATCTAATAGCACAAAATGAACGAAAAGTGTAAATCAAATATAATGTTATTTTATGTATTGGGCAATTGCATCGATATATGAGTACATGTATGTATTACGTAACACATAAACCGATTTTGTTTTTCTGGATTACCTGGTGAAAAAAGTAAGGAATATATATGAATAATACCTACAAGGCTGTACTCTACCCATGGTGCGAAAAGATGGGATACATAAGGTTAATTAATTTATATCTGTAAGTAACGATAAACCATTGCTGGCAAAAGACGATTCCAAGCGCAGTTCGGTAATACATAATTTGAAGTGCCGTAATTTTTTTTAACCTAATCTTCCTACGTTTTCCCGATTATTATGAAAATTAGTTTGAAAATCAAAAAAACGAACTGTATCATTAAAAACAAGATTAACAATTCAACAAAAAAGGTCTCTTGTCGTTTTTTAATTTCAACCATATTTGTGCTATAAAACGTGGTAGGTATTTATTTAAAATAACGAAATCATAAAAAAATCGTATTTTTTTCCTCGGTTAATCATTTTTATTTTAAACACCATTTCAAAAATCAAAAAATGATCTATGTGTTTACCAAGTAAGTAAAATTGACTTTCAAAAAAATTGCTACACTTATATATTGGAGCAAGTTTTCTAGGATAAAAGTGTTCTACAGTATATATATATATATATATAAAGATTAAAGTATCATTGTAAAAATATTAAAAAGTCGTCCGATGATTTTGAACATTTTACCACGTCTAGGTAAGTCTAAATGTAGGCTAGAAGAAAAAAAATAAAAAAATAATGCAGTGCGTGTAATAGTAGCAATTATTGTGTAGTGGCATGCAGTCCATAATAAATATTTTAATATAATAGGTATGCTATTTATTTATGGTGACGGTTTACCAATATTTTTCTCTGATTTTGTAAAAATTGTTTACATTTTAATGATCGCCTTAATGATAAGATTTTTCATTATCTTTATAAGTACAAAGCAAATGCTTTAAGTACATTTTTGAATATTTTTCAATCGAATTTTGTTTACTATTTCTAGTAAAATAGTTGAATTATACTCCTGATATTTACTAGTATAGAACCTAAGAAATCGTAATCAATTTTAAAAATTTAAATCAAATCCGATAAACACAATTTTTCTAGTTTTGTCTGAATTTTAGGTTTAATTCAGCTAAAATATACACGGTCACAGAACAGTTTTTCTAAAAAAAATACCGAAAATAATTGATGAAACATCGGTTTATTTTTGTTAACCTGAAGGAATACTATAATAAGAAAAAACACCACTAGTACTATAACATCTTACCAATTTACGGAGTTCCGTTTGAACTCATTTTTTTATTGCAATGATTTATCGTTGTTTTCAATGACCATATGGCTATATAAACGAAATTCTTTATAATAGTATGCTATACCTTCCTATCTATAAGCTACAAAAACAGATGGTCCAAGACGAATACACCTTGACTCCAGGTGCATTTTTATTTTTAATATTCATGTGTTTATTTTAAATTTGTAATATATTAAAGCTGAGCATCTACTAGGGCGGAATATCGGCACGGTGCAATATTGGTACATGTATTATTATTTATCAATAATATAGTTAATTTTATTGTCAGTTTTATCAACTTATATCAGTAAAGGTATATGTTTATTTTCTAAATGCCAATGTTCAGTTAATAGTCAGTGACTATTTTTCCTTCAACCTTCTATTCCTAATTTATAACTATTGACAACATGAGTGGTTTTGAAGAGAAAATGTTGTTCCTGATTATAATTGCTGAAGCTAAAGAAGAGGAAAAAAAACAAAATAAACAATAACACAACCTGTAGATGCACGAAAACAACACAAAAATATTTAGATTTTTATCTTTTTCCAGATCTTAATATGATATTAACAACACCAACACGGTTATCTATAGATAACCACAATTACAATATGGCATGACGTAAACACAAGTCCCGGTGTCACCCCAATAATACCCCACAATCAATGAACTTGAAAAAAATCGTCTGCTCTACCGTCCTTCACTAGATCGGTAAGCAAACGTGGCACGATGCGTCTCGGCGCCGTACCGATTTCGACAAGTCGCCGGAGAAACGAAGCGCGGCTCCGCGCCACCTTGACACCTAGTAGACGGATCTGTATTTATTTATATGCATTTTTTTTGTTGCCGCTCCGCGCCATGCTGACATTCTGACCTAGTGGAAGTTCAGCTTTACCTTTAAAAAAAAAACTTATTAAACGCCTACTTCAGGAATCCTGTAAATTTAATGAAGAAAGAATTAAAAACAGCATCCCAAATAGCCTATCCGAATGTCTCAACAGCGAAAATCGAAATATTTTTAACAGACTAAAATTAATTAAAGACGCCAATTTATACAAAACTATTTATGTAATACCATAACAATTATTGTAACATTAAATTGTAAATTGTAAATTTTATTTTTATTTTTTCCTATTATTTAAAATAATTTGTTTTTTATTTATTCCTACTTTGTAATTTGCACTATTTAATACTTGTATTTTAACTTCTCCCAATGTTTTAAAAGGAAAATTATAATAAAAATATTTGTTCACCCATACCTGCCATAATCATAATGTAACATGAGATTTGTGGCCAATGACCTATGCTGTCGAGGCCTTTTTTTATACTAGAAAAAAAAACTTGCTGTAAAAATTCCGATGAGAAATTTTACTTCAGTGGAGAGTAGCGCAGCTATTTGTTTTTTAAAAATGCATTAATTTTTTAGTACAAACGTATTTACGGTTAATTAGTTAGAAAAAAAAATAATATTTATTATACGCGACCACATTATCGCGTGGAAAAATAACGTGTGATCGTGCGTCAGCAATATTCTAGTTTAAAAATATTCCAATAATATTGCTTAAAAACACTAGATTGACTAGATTGATATTTTGTACATTTTCCCGTTTTTCCTCCATTTTTTTTTCGGGTTTTTCACATTTTCACGAGATCAGAAAATTTCTGAGAAAATCAAAAAATGATTTTAAAAAATGAATTTGGGGAGGTATTTAAAGTACCTACTCACACCGATTTATTTTCAGAAAAGTTGCTACCCTTAAAAATTGGAGTAATATTTCTGGTTGAAAAGTTGTGCACACATAAAAACACAATAAATCAACATCTTTTTAAAACCATAAGCTTCTTTGCTCCACTTAGAATCTAGAAATATTATATCTTTTTATTTTTTTTTGAACAACATTTTTATCAGCAATTTTGCTTCGATTTACAATGATAGCGCTTTTTCTAAAAGGAAATCTAACTGCGGAGGTACTTAAGACGGAAATTTTTTGACCTTCCAAATAAATGGGAAAAACGTAAGAAAAACGAGAAAATAGGTACAATATTAAACAAATATTATTAAAGAAAATATATAATGTCTATGGAATTATTTAATTGTTGACAAAGCAACACTATTAACTGAACTCCTCTCTGAATCGTTTTTTTTTTTATAGTAATGGTTTATCGTTGCTTAGAGATATACATTAAAATTTCCCTCTACTACCTTCCCAACTTCTCACCTACAATAGTAACCCACCCACGAGCGAAGTTGCCCAGCTTCTTTTCTAGTACATTCAGGAGATTCCTTTTTAATTTTCCATGTAGTTTTCTAATGTACTGGGAACACTACGAATACCTCTCAAATAGGTTTTTACAAATTTTACGAAAGTAAAAAACCGTGGCTCATTTAAAATTTGACCAAAATTTACAAAAAATTAAAACTTCTATTTGCGAGATTTTGTTAGGTAGCTGACAAAATGAAACATCATATAATGTATAATCATATAATATCTATTACGTAATTCGATACACTATTATATCGCCAGTTACCTATTAATTTGCAAATGTATCGCATACAATTTTTTTTAACACATTTAAAATATGTAGATATAGATAATTTCACAGACTTTTCAGAATAATAAAATCATTTCATGTTAAATTTTATAAAAATGTTTTTATAGTTTATCACAATAATTTAATGATTATCACCAATCATCGAGATAAAGAATACACTGGAGCACTCGTAAACAGAAAACGAGCCGCCGTGATAAAAATCATTCCTAATACCGTACTGCAAAAACTATCATTTTATAAATTTATAGTTGCATTTTATTGACTTTTCTGTGGTTTAAATTAGTGTTCTTTTAAAGTTTTATAACAATTAAACTGAACTATTAAAGTATATATTTATTTTTATTTGTGACGGGCTTTTTTTTTGTTGAAGACTATTATTATTTTTTGTATGATTTTTCTTATTTTTCTATTTGAAATGAAAATGGTTATTTCGTGTTCAGCTTTTAGATGCATCAATAGACAGACAAAAGGCAGTTCTGTACAGTTTCACGTACAGTTGATATGACATAAATTATATTTAATATAGAATATTAATCTAGTTATGTATATTTTTTTATTCATTTTAGATTTTCTTTAAAAATTCTAGTGTTTTAAGTCAATGGCTGAAAGAAGTACGCAGAAAAATGTTGCCCCTATAAAATATAGTTTTATCTATAGTTTTATATAATATGTAATATTATAGTATATATATGTAATATCATTTTATTGACACAGACTATCAAATTTGGCCAGGTGCAACTGTACAATTGTTGAACAAAAATACTGCTCCATCAGTATTTAGTGGTTTTCTTACTCGTTTACTGAAACCTTTACCAGTGAAACGGTATTTATTACAACGTAACATTCCGAATGAGGTTTGCTTTATACATTATTGTGCAGCAAAATATTGTATTAATAACATTCATTATGTACCTACTTACTTCTATTATAATCTACCAAATAATTTAATTTCAAGTATTGAAGGTAAGTAAATTGATCCTTACCACCGACCCTTGGATTTACATTGCCTTTGATAAATACTTTATACATAATACCAGTAGTTTATTATAGAAATTATAAACAAACATTATTTTTTCTTCACAATTTAATCAAAATAACAAACTTAAATGCTGGCGTGTGATGAGTCATCAATTGAAACATAAGTAAAAAAAGTGATTGATTCATCTAAAAAAGTTGTTAACTTTATTTTATGCTTACTGAAATATTAAATGTTAAAATATTTATTTATTTTATTTTACTATTTGTTAATAGAGTTTAAGCAAAGACATAAGCATTCAGTCTACTGTGGAATCACCAAGCAAACATTGTCTGCGGAAAAAAGTGAAAATTCTCCAACATAGGTTGAAAAGAAAAGATATACAAATCAAAACTTTGAAAATCTGAAATAAGTTTTTGAATATTTTAGGTATTATAAATAATCAATAATGACCCTTTGATGTTGAAGCCTTATTATATAATATAAAAAAAAAAAAAAAAAAATAATCAATATTAATATGTTATAATTAAAAATAGAATTTTATATGGAAATGTATTAATTGAAATGAAAACCATTAATATCAAATATGTATATATTTTCAAAGCAAATTAATTAATGTTTTTTTAAAATTAAGATAATAAAAAAATATTTTAAACTGCATTAGGTAATAATATAAAAATGATAGAGACAAAGACACAATTCTTTAATGAATGATGAAAAAAAAAACGAAAATTAATTGTACTCGATAATCGCCGGATTATTGTAAACGCCCTGTATAAATCACCCTGTATGTATCACTCTGTATATATTTACGTCAGATATACTTCAATGTAAAGATAAAATTATCGGGTACCATGAACAAACCAACGAAACCGGTTTGAGAGAAAAAGTATTTGTCGTTTTCCCTTCGACACGACCCTGCAGGTTCCCATCGTCGTCGGTTCCAATATTGTCGGTTACTAATATTTGTCTGCGTTCAGTATTTCGAATATTCGTTTATGTGCGGTGCATTCCTAAACCAAGATTACTATATAAACACGTATAATGGCCATTATAAATCCCATTAGACCACTCCCCGACCCGAGGGTTGAAGTCCGACGACGACGGTGTCTTCGCACTGGCAACGTCTACTAGGTAGTTATTTTAATACATTTATTTTTTTTATTACTTTATCCAAATATAAAACGCTGTCTAGATATACGGGCGTCCTTGTTTCTAAAAGTTGTGTACAGAAAAAATTAAAACACATATAATAAAATTAATGGATCCCTCGCAACACTTCAAATCTAAAAGTTACGTTATACACGTTTTAAACAAATCGAAATTTTTACGATTTTCGTTAAAATTTTATCTTAAAATGCTTAATTTTTTGATACCTAAGTTTGAAAATCAAACTTTTTTTTTAATTACTTATAATAAACAAAGTGTTTAATTGTCAAGCATGCATGTTTGATTAAAGAATTTTATCCTCATACTATTGTCGTATACCTCGATCACTTCAACGTATACGAATACAACACAAAATAAATATAAATACCAAATAGAGCCTATACTAGGGACGGGGTGCAGGGTGCAGCCACTGTTGTAGGTGGGTAGTTGCAGGGAATGTGGAGTACACAAAGTTCTTTAATTTATACCAGTATGCAAACATAAACTATGGCTAACGAAAAATAATTCGGAGCAAAGTTCGCTAAAACATATTTTGAAATTCCGTAATTTTTTACAATTTTTATCAAAATTTGATATTAAAACTCTTATATAAAAAAAAAAAACTACATTACACTCAATTTTTTTTTACTAGTAAGTACAATGTACATAGAATATCTATCAAATTATCAAGCTGTTTAGTCTAACCATTTTATCCATACAGTACCTACCTATCAAATAAAAATAACAAAAAACTTGGATGTCTAAAATTTTAAAATGTCTATAAATAGTTCAAAAATTGTTCAAATGTTTTAAAAGTTTTACCACGTCTAGAAAAAACAAATATAATTTTTCTGTCTGAATTTCAAGTCTTTACGAATATTTTTAACTGAATAAGATAAAAAAAAAAATTTAAATAATAATAGAATTATTTTCGTAAATTTTTCCGGACTTTTACGTATTTTTTCGGTTTTGTTTAATTGTTTAAAAAATTACTAAAAGAATTGAACGTTCTCGTTCACTAGCAATATAAAAATGTCAACAAAAAAGATCTCTTGTTGTTTCTCTTTCGGGGGAAATGAGAAATATTTCTTGTAAAAAAAGGAAAAGGTAAAAATTTAAAATAATTAATTCGTAATGCAGTCAATTTGTCAGTTTTCATTTTACGATTTTTCCGGTTTTCCTAATTATTAATAAAACAACTGAGAAAATAAAAAGACAAATTACATTCTCATGAACTAGATTACAAATTTAATAAAAAAATGTCTTTTGTCGTTTTTATATTAAAGCAATATTCGTGGTAGAAAACATCGTTTTAAAAATGTTAAATAATTAAACCATAAATACAATTAATCACTATTTTGGATATAAAAAAACCACTTTTTGTCAGTGGCTATATGTTAAAAGAAACAAAATCGATCTCTTGTTATTTGAATTGTCAAAATGTTGATTGAAGGAATATCTCTGGTAAAAAACATAAATTGTAAATATTAAAAATAATTAAATCGGTGACGTGGTGGTACTCCGTAAATATTTGCTGTTAAACCAATAATTTTCTTTGGAGTTTTTCCGAATGATTTTGAAAATTCTTCAGAAAATCAAAAATAAACTTCCAAATTCACCAACAAGATAATATTAGCTTTTAGAAAAATTGCTACACTTGATACTTCAGAGCGAGATAATTGGTAAAAAAGTTGTTCATCCACAGAAAAAAAAAAGAAAAAAAAAGTCCAAGGAAATGGGGATGGGTGTAGCTACTGTTATAAGTAATTTAATGTACGTTTATTGTATGCAACGATAAGCCATTGCTTACTAAAAGCCAATTCTGAGTGTTGTTCAGTTGATAGTGTCTAGTGATAGAAATCTTATTGAAAAGGTACTTTAGGGAGGTTATATTTCAATTTTCTAAGGAGTTTTCTCAGCAAATGTGAAAAACCGAAAAAAACGAACGAAAAACGTGAAAATCGGTGCATTAAACAAATATTATTGAAGAAAATGTATAACGCCTATTTAATTATTTTTCTATAATATGACCTATATATTGTTGTCAAAGCATCACTGTTAACTGAACTCCGCTCAGACTCGTTATTTCGCTGGCAATGATTTATTGTTGCTTACAAATATTTGCTGAAATATTTAGATTTCCTTTAAATGAAAAAAAAATGAAAAAAGAGGTTTAAATTATTAATGTAAAAATATAGGTATGTATAAAATAGATATATATTAATATTGTAATTTGTATCTAACTACCAACTTTTAAAATATCAATGTATATATTAATAAATGCACTTTGTTAATTTGTGTATATGATTATCAACAAAACAAAATATCGTTTATCCCCTATTGGAATAAGCTAAGCACTCCTCTAAATAAAATATATGACATATTGTAGTAAAATTAATATTATATTGAAACAATTTGTATGGACCAGGAACTAGATTTGTTTTACATCATTCTTTACAAAAAAAGTTTTCACCAAAATTTGATATTAAAATTCTTGTAAAAACATATAGGTAACATTAGATTATTTTTTTTTTTTTGACCTCAAGGTACGACTAATAATTAACCATTTGTTCAGTTTTCAAGCATTTCTGTTTTGTCTAACAATTTTATCCACAGAGTACCTACCAAATAAAAATTACTCACAAAATTAAAGTATGTACTTAACCGCGTTTGAGTATGATGCGATTGCTTTTTTTTATAACGATAATATTATTACGAGGGACGCGTTTTATTGCCGTTTGAAAATTGAAATACACACCGGATATCTACCCGTATTCGGTATTGAACAATGATGTCAAGATAATAATAAATTGTATGTTATAGTCGAGTGGTCGCAGACTATGTCCCGCTGGTTTGGGTCGAGCCGATAATGGTATAATGAAAATATTCCAACATAATAAATATTCTTATGTCTGCATAATATATAATATAAGATTAGAACACGAGGTTTCAGACTATGGTACCTCTCTTTCTGACTAATGCGATTTCCGATGGCGTTGTTTTTCTCGCGCGTTTAATCGGTTTCCGCAGAGCTGTTTTCGAGGAAATTCTTTTATCAATTTTATTATTATTATTGTATCGATTCGATCCAGCCGACGGAATCCTATTAGGAATAATAATATTCGTATTATTGTCGTTTCTATACTGAAATACCTGTAAAACGATACCGTTCTCCAACGATGGGGAGTAAGAATGAATACCCCATTCATCCGGACCTAATCGCTGTCCCATCCAACAAGTATTAAATGTAGTAATAAGTTATAGTTTAGTAGGTCCTTCTAAAATTTGGTTCGCCCCACCTAATGACAAACAATAATAAATAGCATTGTTCTTAACTTTGTGGTGAATACGGGTGTTTTTGAGCGTTTTTAAAATAACTGTTATATAATATAACAAGAGTTTCAAAAGCCGAGTCTGTGGATTATCTGTTCTATACTATTTTTCACGAGAGAAACGTAGTTTTTCGCGCACGCAGATTGAGCTTACGGATCACTCGCTACCGCTCTTGTCGTCGACGGCAGTCCGCAAAATTACACCTGGTAGTGGAGCCCTTGGCGAGGTGCGGCGTTGGGATGCGTAAGAATTTTCCTCTACTGTTCTTTCGTGAAAAATAGTATAGGATATTCATGTATTAAGGCTTCTGATGCTATTGGTCAAATTTACACAGTGCACCTTAATAATATTGAATGTTTTCATCTCCGTTTACTACTTCATCACATTAAAGGACACACATCATTTTAGATTCTGAGTGGTACATAACAAGGGTTCACCTACAAAATAGTGAAAATAAAATATGGAACACAAAATATATTGAATACAAAACAGCGAAAATCATTGAATTGAAAAAATAAATAGCGAATAAACAATTTTAGAAAAAATATAAAAATTAAAATTAAAATATACTATAAAAATTATTTAAAAAAACGTCAAGTAAAACGCCAAGTGTCCACAACACTTAGGAAAACGTTATATTTCAGCTTTTACCCGGACAAACCTAGTTGTGATCAACCTCATTCGGGCAAATCTGTAACGTAAATTTCAATTTTTCATAGTAGGTAGGTACCGTGTTAATAATATTACAATACTCTGCTATTAATTCTATTACAATACTGACTGTCCTCAGTAATAAATTGGTTTTTACACGGAAATATCTGGTTTTTGATGTGTAGTGAAAATATGAAATAAACATTTGGACAAAACCATAGCTAATTTTATAGTAATATTTATTTATATATTTATAAAATAAATTCATGGACGT